CACCCCCCACACCTTGCCATTCCACACCTGCGGTCCGAAGGACCATCAGAAGCTCTCCTCTAGATGTTTTTCTCCTTTTTGGCTCTATCCACACTCTGTCTTCCTGGAGTTATTTGTAATTTGAAAGGGCTCAAGTTGTGAAAATTTGCTTGCTGTGGAAAGGTTGACGGAGAGGCTGTACAGGAAGCCCCATCTGTCCGCTACCTGCGGGCCTGGCCTGCATTAGGAGCAGGCTCCCCAGGGGATAAAGGAGCTCAGGTCCCATGGCCCCACAGAGCTCCTCAGGCTCCTGGGAAGGTGTGGATAGATTCTGCTTTTTTAAAGATGTATTTAATTATTTGAAAGACAGAGAGAGAGAAAGAGAGAGAGAGAGAGAGGTCTTCCATCTGCTGGTTCGCTCCCCAAATGGCTGCAATGGCCAGGGCTGAGCCAGGCCAAAGCTAATAGCTGGGAGCTTCTTCTGGGTCTCCCATGTGAGTGCAGGGGCCCAAGGACTCTCCCATGCGTGTTAGCAGGGAGCTGGATCAGAAGCAGAGCAGCCAAGGCTTCGAACCCGCACTTATATGGGATGCTGGCACCCCAGGTGCCAGGTAGTGGCTTTACCTGCTATGGCACAGCCCCGGCCCCTTGGATACACTTTTTTACTTCAAATCTTTCTCATAAATTTATTTTTCTTTTTGTCTTGGAACTGCCATGTAGGGGAGGGAAATGGATGCCATTATCTTTGTTGCCTGAGAAAGCAGCAGGCAAAATAGGCCTTCAAGACGACAAATCACCTCTCCTCCCACCGTGGGGCCTTTCCTCCCCAGTTCGCACTGACTGAGAGAATTCCTGCAGGGACACTAATGCATTGTTGTTTCTTGGGTGAGCCTTACCTGCCTCCTCATAAATATATCATTTCCCCAGACTCATTCCTACAAATTGCCTCGGTGTTTGTCAAGGATCCAGAGCACCTGCCAGAGCAAGCCCACTTGCCCCTGCCCCCCTTACTGATAATGAGGCTTATCTGTTTGCATTGCTGCTCCTCACCTGTTAGTCTGACTTATCTCCTTACCAGATTGTGTGTTCTTTAGCACACTGGGCACCATATGGCCCCCAGCAAAAACAGCTGTCTTGTTACCCACCTATGGGCACAATTTACATGTTCCTAGTACATCTAGGATTTGTTTGATCTGGAGGAATTTATGTAATCAGAACAGCAAAAGTTGAGTTCCCACCCACCTCCTGTTTTTTAATGCAACAGATAATGTGTGCAGACTAAATGATAAATTATATATTCTCACAATGAAGCTGAATGAACTGTAGCTACTAGCAATGTCACTGAATCTTACTGACCTAATACTGATTGATGGCCGGCACCCCGGCTCAATAGGCTAATCCTCTGCCTTGCGGTGCCGGCACACCGGGTTCTAGTCCCGGTCGGGGCGCCAGATTCTGTCCCAGTTGCCCCTCTTCCAGGCCAGCTCTCTGCTGTGGCCCAGGAGTACAGTGGAGGATGCCCCAAGTGCTTGGGCCCTGCCCCCCATGGGAGACCAGGAGAAGCACCTGGCTCCTGGCTTTGGATCAGCGCAGTGCGCTGGCCGCAGCGCGCCGGCCTTGGTGGCCATTGGAGGGTGAACCAACGGCAAAAGGAAGACCTTTCTCTCTGTCTCTCTCTCTCTCTCACTGTCCACTCTGCCTGTCAAAAAGAAAGAAAGAAAAAAAAATACTGATTGATAAAAACAAATCCCAGAGGGTTATATGGACCATCACAGTTTTTCTAAAATTTTTTTAATTGATTTGAGAGACAAAGGGAGAGATAGAGAGGTCTTCTATCTGCTGGTTTACATCCCAAATGGCCACAATGGCCAGAGCTGCGTTGATCCGAAGCCAGGAGCCAGGAGCTTCTTCTGGGTCTCCCAAGTGGGTGCAGGGGCCCAAGGACCTGGGCCATTTTCTACTGCTTTCCCAGGCCATAGCAGAGAGCTGGATCGGAAAAGGAGCAGCTGGGACTAGAACCAGCACCCATATGGGATGCTGGAGCCACAGGTGGAGGCTTAGCCCACTGAACTAGAGGGCCGACCCCTTTCTAAATTTTAAAAACAAAACTACAGGTCATCGGGAGTCCCCTCAGCCACACATGTGCAAGTTCATGATCAGATGTATTCCTGTGGGCACAGCTGGTATTTCCTTTCCCTGGTGCCTCATTTACAGGGGGTAGAACTGGCCTCCACTCCACTCCTGCTGTCTGTTGCAGACGTCTATAGTTCTAGCCACTGGGGTTCATGTCTTGTGCCCGTGAAGAATGAAAACATGGACAAAGGAGGTTGAGCAGAACAAAGTTGATTAAAAGAAGCAGAAAAAGCTTTGGGCAGCCAGGAGGGGTCCCCTGAGCAGGACGGAGAGGCGGGGAGTCTAGAATGTCCTATCCTTCAGGACAAGGGAAAGTTAAACACAGGGGTCCTTAAAGCAAGTCATTTACCGTGATGTTCCCTCCCTGGGGTGATCTTGTACTGTTTCCCTATCTTTCATTCCTCCCTCACTCTCAGATCCCAGGTCCTTACCTCCGGCTCTCTTACCTTGCTAATTTCTAGGCCTCTGTCTTGTCTGCAAGACCTGTCTTCAGCAGGGAGGTTCTCTGTGCCTTTCTACTTCAAACCGAACTCTCTCCTGCCTCCATCATGTCCAGCTGCCACACTTTTCCCCTCCGGACCCTTCCTCACCTCCTTAGCTTATCCTGACTGAGGCCGAAGCAATTTGGAGTTCACCTGGTTCCCGTTCCCTCCCAGTCTCACCTGGCCTGTCAGGAAGAGACAGTGGGACCTTCTCAGTTTTTTTCACTGTGGTCTCCCCATTCTGGCACAAGACTCTGGGTTCCCCAGGATTGCTCTCCTGGCCCTCTTGGTGCTGTGGGCTCATTAGGACATCCCACTAATGCATCAGGATTGCCTTAGGACTGCTTGCATCCTGCATCTTGACCAGAGATTGCTGTCGCTTCCACACTGTGCCATAACCACCTCTTCCTTTCACACAGTTCCACTCACCGGTGTAAGCAAAAGCACAGCTCCCCAGGGCCATCCCGCTGAGTGGGTCTCAGGCCAAATCTGGGTGCTGACAGCCTGGGGTCTTGCTGCTGGGTGCCCTGTGCAGGCAAATTCACAGGTGTATTTCTGTCAGGCTCTCTGCTGCCATTTCAAGCCTCAGTTTACCTGTTTCTACCTTTCAGGTACCCAAAGGTCTTCTGTGCTATTTGCCACACACATCATTTCCTAAGGGCCAATCGTGTACCCATTCTTGTGCTAAATATCGTGGCTCCATTCATCTGACTCGGTCGACTTTCCCATTTCATGGTTAGTTTTGTGTAGTCTTGTTTTCTCCCTCAAATCTTAGAAACACTGTGCACATCAGAAACAGTATCCTAAGGGACTTTCCGGGATGATGCTTTAAAATTAACCACTACTTTCTTCAGTCTTAGGATTTAAGATTCGTCCAAAGCTCTGCAATGTTTCCAGACAATAGAAGACAAACACCTGCCTTCAGTCTTCCGTGAGAACAAGCCAATAGGAAACAGCTTTAATGTGTAGCATAAATTACTGGGATTAGAGGGGATAAAGCATTTCCTAACAGTGAGGACCAGAAAAAGCTGCAAATGGTAACTGAGCCAGGCTGGAGATTCTTTAGAACAGGGATACTAAAGGTCTTAATGAGACAGTCTCATAAATTATGTTTTCTCCTGTGTTAAACCAGTTGCAGATTTCTTCCAGAATCAATAATAATAACAATACTACAAGAATTCCCCATTCCTCCAACTTCTGTGGTTTCAACTTGGTTTTGATTCACCACTTCCATTTATTTGCTCAGAATCCCTTAAATCTGAAAATTAAGCCTGATTTTTCTTGCTTTCCTTTTTCTAAAAAATATTTTTAAAATTTATCTTGAAAGTTAGAGTTAAAGAGGGAGAAATACATACACAGAGAGAGAGCGGGAACTTTCATTCTCTGGTTCACTCCCCAAATGGCTGCAACAGTCAGCATTGGGCCAGGCTGAAGCCAGGAGCTAAATCCTGTCTCCCACAGAGGTGTCAGGGGCCCAAACACCTGGGCCATCTTCCGCTGCTTTTCCCAAGCCATTAGCAGGGAGCTGGATTGGAAGTGGAGCAGCTGGAACCCAAACTGGCACCCACATGGGATGTTGGCTTTGCAGGCGGTGGCTCTACCTGCGACACCACAATGCCAGCCCCTTGTTTCCCTTCTTTAAGGTGAATGTGCATGTGCACAAATGTGTGTGCTCACACACCATTCTAACTCTTCATTCTGCAGTGATGAGTATGTTCATCATCTTTCCCTTCCAGAGTTGCATGAACTCAAAGACTCGAGCCTTTTGAAGAAGACTAGTCTGCCCCATGAATAGGCAGTTAGACGGGCATGTCCAGGAAATGCCATGAGCTCCCAGACCTCAAAAAGCTCTGGACTGCTGGCTGCAGTGGAACCCACTTTTGTGGCATTCCTTCCCATGGGGGTGTCAGTCATGAGACCCTGGAAGCCATGGGGCTGTCCGGGCCTTGTCCCAGACAAGCTGGCTCAGATTCCTGGCCTGCTCCTCCCATCCTTAACTGGGGAATGTTGCTGCCAACAGAGGCAGATGGGATTAGGTCTTCACACTTAATGGAGATCTGTGTCTCCGTGTCTTGTATTTATGGGGGCAAAATGAATTTGAGAAAATATTGAGGCTTTTTAAAAAATATATTTATTTTATTTATTTGAAAGAGTTACACAGAGGGCCGGCGCTGTGGCTCACTTGGTTAATCCTCCACCTTGCGGCGCCAGCATCCCATATGGGTGCCGGGTTCTAGTCCTGGTTGCTCCTCTTCCAGTCCAGCTCTCTGCCGGGAAGGCAGTGGAGGATGGCCCAGGTGCTTGGGCCCCTGCACCCACATGGGAGACCAGGAGGAAGCACCTGGCTCCTGGCTTTGGATTGGTGCAGCTCCAGCCATGGCAGTCATTTGGGGGGGGGGGGTTGAACCAATGGAAGGAAGACCTTTCTCTCTCTCTCTCTCTCTCTCATTGTCTAACTCTGTCAAATAAAAAAAAAAGTTACATAGAAAGAAGAGAGGCAGAGAGAGAGAGTCTTCCATCCTCTGGTTCACTCTCCAGTTGGCTGCAATGGCCGGAGCTGCACCCATCTGAAGCCAGGAGCCAGGAACTTCTTCTGGGTCTCCCACACAGGCGCAGGGGCCCAAGGACTTGGGCCATCTTCCACTGCTTTCCCAGGCCATAGCAGAGAGCTGGATTGGAAGTGGAGCTGCTGGAACTCTAACCGGTGCCCATATGGGATGCCAGCACTGCAGGTGGAGGATTAACCCACTGTGCCACAGCACAGGCCCCAAGGTTTTAATAAAGCTATTTCATCCAAAGAATTTAAGGTTCTCCAGCTGCCATAAAGGATAAAAAAACAAACAAACTACTAACTAGATTGGTGATTTGAATTTTTAGTTCAGGGCGTCTGGTGTTGTCTGATAGAAGGAAACAAAACTCTTCAAGGAGAATACCCAATATCCCAAAGAGAGACTCGTTTCTAAAATCCGCCCCAAGATTGTAAACGGGCTTAAGAACGCTTTCATCCGTGTATCTCCCCACCTTTAAACCTCAGACTCTCAGACCTCTGTGGTGCGTTCTCTCCCAGTGTGGATTACGCTACTGGTAAAACATCCAGGAAGGGCCGCCTGCGGTCAGGCGAGAGTCCAGACGGGCGGACCTGGCTGCCGTCTTGCTCCTGGCTCGCCCCCTCTTCCGTTGGAGGCGACGGGGATGTGAACCAGTGGCTTCTGCCTCTCTCGGGAGTCTCACCTGACTTTCTCAGGCAGAGCGAGGCACTGGGTTCCTTCGGCTGTCCCCAGAGGAGGGTCCGGCGCCGGGGAGTGTGGGGGAGGGAGCAAGGCTGGAGCCGCTGCCCAGAACCAAGACGGGGAGAGAGGAGCTGCTCGGCCGGACCGGGGCGCGCCGCGGAGAAGCTCAAAGTTTGGCGGGTAAGGACCTGAGGGGCTCTGGAGCAGTGATTTGCTGGGGCGGGGGCCGCAGCCTCGGGGCAGGGGCAGGAGGTGATTAAAGACCTCTCTGTCCACAGCAGGTGGCGGTGCGCTTGGGAGCGGCGCTGTCCGCAGCCCCGGTGCTGAAACGGGCCGCGTCTCGGCGGGCGCGACTGGGGGCACTAGCAAGGGGCGCGCTCCGACCTCCACTCCCTGCCCGGCTTCCTCACGCCCACCTCTCCCTCTCCCCCTCCCAACAGTGAAGTCCAAAGGACTAGAAGCGGCTGCTTGTGCCCCGCAGCGTATCTCGCGCCCCTCCACTCACGTTCCGCAGTCGCGCTGGGCTGACCCGCCGAGCCGTCGGGGCGCGCGGCTGGAGGAGCTGGGTTGCCCAATTGGGGACCTGGAGGGTGTTCAGACTGCACAGGGCTCACAGGACAGAACCTCGCACTTCCACTGCCTCCAGTTGAGAAAGAGGCACCACAGCCGCCGCCTTGTTTCCCTCGCCGGGGTCGGCCCAGCGCACAGGGAAACTGTGGCCTTGGTCTGGACCCAGCGGGTCCGCCGGGCTGCAGCGGGTGGGGGACGCGAGGCTGCCTCCGGGGACCCTTCTCAGCCTCAGGGAAGCAGAGACAGGCGGTTGAGGAAGACGCGAGGCATTGGAACTCAAATTTTGAGGAGTGAACAGTCGCTTATTTTTAAAGTTAAAATCACAACCTTATCTTTTCTTTGTGCTACCCGAAAGGAAAAGAAATGGGACGGCTAATTGCCTGGTACGGTCGGTTTACCCTGTGTGTGTGTATTGAAATATCGCACTGCACCCATAAAAACGCACACGTTTTACGTATGAACACGGAGGTTTTACAAATAATTTTAAAAAGAAAAGAAAAAGATCATGCCCCAGTCTCGGCGCTGCCGGGGCCTCCGGCTTTAGCGCTAGAGTAGTGGGCGCGAGGCCCCTGGCCTCTGATCCCTTGAGATCCGCTAATCGCATCAGGGCACAGGCTTTTCTCGGCCGCTCAGCTTCCACCCGCCCGCCCCCCACCCCGCGTCCCCAGGGCCTGCCCCCACTGCCCCCTGCGCTGTGGCCACGCTGGGCTGGGGCTGGGGACTGGAGGCTGGGAGAGCAGTTTCACTTTTCTCCCTGGCGCTGGCCCTTCTTTAACTCGATCACCGTCAGGCACGTCTCTCCGCTGGCCGCGGCGTGTGGGGGAAGAGGAAGGGTCTGGGAGCAGCGATCCCAGCCAGCCTCCGACCTTCTCGGTGGTCCCGCGTCCCACGGGGCTGGCCGGGAAATCTGCACAGCCTGTCGCGACTCTGGGCGAGGCTGGGGTGGGCGCCGTTCCTGCTATCTGAAACCGTTAGGGAGGGGTTGGTCCCCACCTGGTTGCAGACCCCATACCGGAGGGGGCCGCTGTGCCTGCAAATACTCATTCCTGGAGCCCTGGTCGTGCGGGCGTGGGGTCACCACCGACGGCCCTGCACGCACCCCAATTGTGAGCTCACGGGCGCCGGAAAGTTTGGCCGGATCGGGCAGGTGACCGCTGTGCGCGCTGTGGCCAGGTCCAGTTTCTGGAAAGTTCTGCCCTTCGGGGGACCCAGCTGGACTTCACTCAGCAGGCGGGAGATCACTTGGGGAGGGGAGAGAGGCCATGAACCCCCACCTCCCGCTCCAGGCACACCCGCTCCTCCCTTTCGGCCACCTCAGGGGGCTCCCTCGGGCACAGGACGCAGGAGAAGTGGGCTGAGGCGTTCTGGGAACCGACCGGGCTGCGGGCTGCGCGGGACCTTCACCGCAGGCTGTGACTCCGATGCCCCCTAGCCTTTGATCCGCCTTGCTTTTCTGCCTTTTTCTGTTCTCATTCACTATCCGCCCGCGGTCACGTGTCTCGTTAAGAATGGAGTTGCCATGGCGACCGACCTCCAGTCGCCATGGTACCCAAGAGGTAAACAGTCGGAAGCTGTGCTCTTCTTCGGGTCTGGAAAACTGGAAGGCCTTTCTGGGCCTGGTTTCCCCGCGGGAGATGGGGGGTGGGAGTGACCAGACTCCAGGGCCCTCTTTAGCCAGCCTCCTCCCTGCGTGCCCCACAGAGGCTTGCTCACCTGGATCCCTGGCTAACCCTCCCCAAACACTGTGGACCCCAGTTTGAGATGGGTCAGGCTTTTTTCTCCATCTCCTCCAGGACATACACTGAGGAGGAAATGTGCATGGTTTTCTCTCTGACCTATTCATTTCAGTTGCACACTGACTTCTCCCGGGAAGCACAAGCCCAAGTCCCGTGGGAGCAGAATGCAATCAATTACGCAAACACAGCCCCTGCCCTCTGGGATCTCATGGTGTGGTGTGGGAGACAAACGTTTACACTAGCGGCCAGCTGGCCTGGCCTCTGGGCTGACATGAGGTGGTGAGACAGCACTGAGAGAGAGAGAGAGAGAGAGAGAGAGAGAGAGAGAGAGAGATGTGTGGGGAGCAACTGGGAGCAACTCGGACTAGACTAAGTTACTGGAATTAAGACTTATTCTATGCATCTGCTCTCCCACAATATGGCGCTGAGAAGGGAGAAACAGCTTCTACACAGCTGCCTCCAGTTCAACCAATAAACTGTAGGACCTGCTCCTGATTGGAGGAGAGCAGCGTACTCGGCGTGTGGGTAGCAGAGTTGGGATTGGTGAAGAGGACTATAAAGGAGGAGAGAGACAACATGCACCAGGAACATCTAAGGGGAACATCTGAAGGAACACCTGTGCAGCCCCCAAGAGAGCCGGCCGGCGGTGTGCCGCTCCCCCGCGGAAGTAGGGAATGTGGCAGGGGGAACCGCCCTTCCAGGGAGGTGGAAGGGACGGTAGCCAACCCGGGAAGAACCAGCAGCAAACCCGGGGAGGGCTGAGCAGACAGAAGAACAGCGCAGGGTCCTGTGTCGTTCCTCCACGAAGACGGGGAGCGACAGAGATGGACTCCCGGTCAGGTTGGGAGACCATGTGGGAGCTGAAACTCGAAGTCAGGAAGAGGGGAAAGATCCCTTTAGGCAGAGGACTTCCAGAAGCAAAGCTGTGTAGATTGGCCAGGAGGGGCGGGGTCCTGCTATAGCCACAGACTTGGAGCATCTCAGTGGCAGGGCCGTCACTCATGCAATGTCTGAGACTGTGAGGGTCTGGGGTCCTGCATCATGGGAGGCGTTCCCTGGCCAGGGCCCATCCCTGAGCCTTCTCTGGGACTGGAGGAGAGGCTGGGAAGTGCAGCATAAGCTGTGGTGAGAACAGGCTCTGCCGCTACAGGGGACAAGCAAAGTTACAGTGCTTAGAAGCAAAGGGTGGATGGTTAGGGCTGATTTGGCCCAGGTTATGAAAAGTTTTGAAGGTCACACCAGGAAGTGGAGACTGCAGACGTGGGTGAAGAGGCCATCTCCAAAAGATTCTGAAGAGTGACACGAAAGACCATGAGGTCACCGTGGAAGTTCATCCAGTCACATACTCACTCACTCCACACGCACTGAGCACGTCCTGAGTGCCTGGCACTGGATGGATTGCAGGGGGAAGAGACCGTGGTGGGAAAGGAGCAAGGGGTGTTATTGCCACTACTCCAGGAAGGGGCACCAGGGCCTAGACAAAGGCAGGGCACAGCTCAAAGAGGACAAGAGCTGCCTCTGTCTGGGTCACCACAGTACACTCCCTGCCTAGCAAACACCATGGCAAATGGCCAGTGTTCAGCCTGCTTCTGGACTGGAATGAATGAGCAGAAGGGGCAGTGAGGACAGATAGTTGGTCATAACTGATAGTTGGTTACTGACATGGTACCCAGGGCAGCAAGGGAGGCGAAGGAGAGAAAAGCTCATGCCAAGTCTTAGTTGGGTGGTGTTGGCTTTGGACGTCATTCACGGCATGAACCAAGTCCGGGCTGGGGGAGGAAGAGCAGGTTTGGAGTCTTTGGGAGAAAGGGCGGTACAGCGCCATTCAGGACAGTGAGCTCCCCTTACATCGCCTGCACCAGACCTTGCCTGGTCACCAGAGCACTTGTTCTGTCCTTCTCTGCAGAAGTCATGCATTTCTCCTTGATTTATAATAATTGCTTCTTCCTTGATTTATAATAATGCAGTATAGAGGTCAAAGTTAAACAGAATTTGCTCCCTGGCTCTGCCACTGGATGACTTCAAACAAGTTATTTGATCATCCTGAATCTCAGCTTCTTTCTGTCTACACTGGAAGTCACCATTATAATACCTGCCTCGTCAGGGTGTCGGGGACTAAGTGAATTGCGGTGAATTCCTTATCACAGTGTCTGACACACAGCGTGGGCTCGAAGTTAAATAGGGCCCCCTTATTTCCTATGTGCATTACTTGCATGTAGTACTCCCATTATCACACTTCAAAAAAGTTAATCGAGATAAAAAGCAGTGAGGCTTAGCGATGCAGGTTCTTGGGGAAGGAAGGGAGGTCCCTGGCCTGGCCTTGCTGGCCCAGAGTGTGATGGAACAGGGGAGGGAGGAACAGGCTCTTCTGGAGAGGGTGTCTACCGGGCTGGTGCCAGAGATCTGGGTACCCCAGCTCTGGCAAGATCTGGAAAGCGCTTTGATCCTTGTGAAATCTCAACCTGAACAGCTGAATATTATCGCAAAGCGTTCATTTCAAAAACTTATTACACTTAGACCTGAGGCTTCCAGAGGCTCATTAATCGTGACTCGCCTCTGCAGGGAAGGAGGACACTTTCTAGGCCTGAGCTGGGCCTCTGCCTCCTTGATTGAGTAACATAATTGATAACCTTGTTCTAATCCAGTGCCTTCACTTCCACCCCAAATCTCTTCCTGTTCTCGGGAACAAAGTTAATTTTTCTTCTCTGGCAGAGACTGAAATTTTGCATCTGGCATTTGGAAACCTCCATTTCTGTTCACTTATCAGCTCTCCTAACTCAAACTTATTGCCTCTTTCTTGATGCAAGTACATTCCTGGGTTTGGTGCAGCCTGTACTGCACTCCACAGACGAGGGACAATGGAATTCTGCCCTCTATCTCCCCTCGTCACCTCACAGCTCAGCCTTGTCAAGGACCTGAGCTGCCATCTCAGACATTTCTCAGGCAGGTAGAGGAAGCTTTGAAACTTCCTGGTCCCAGAAGTTAGCCTTGTTTCTTGAGAGGCAAAGGATTAATCCTGTAGGAGCTACAATTAGATTGTCTGTTATAGTCCAGGCTACGTGAGTCCTGGCTGTGTGGACTGCATATCTTGGTTTGCCCACCTGTACAATAAGGATAGTAACAGCATGGACCTCATAGAGTTCCTGTGAGTATTAAACGAGCTGATGTAGGGACCAGAGGTGTGGTTAAGCTACCGCATGCAACACCAGCATCCCGCAGGAGAGCGCTGGTTGGAGTCCTGGCTGCTCTGTCTCTGATCCGGGTCCCTGCTCCTGGGAAAGCAGCAGATGATGGCCCAAGTGCTTTGGCCCCTTCCACCCGCATAGGAGATCCAGATGGAGTTCTGGCTCCTGGCTTTGGCCAAGCCCATCCCTGGCTGTTGTGGCCATTTGGAGAGTGAAACAGCAGGTGGAAGCTCGCGCTCTCTCTCTCTCTCTCTTTCTCTTCCTTTGCCTTTCTCCTCACTCTGCCTTTCAAGTAAATAAATAAATCTTGTGTTTTTTTTTTAAGAAAATGAGTTTATGTAAAACATTGTAGAGCAGTGTCTGGAAACATAAGCCCTAAAAAAATGATGATGATGGTGATGAATGCCATATTTTGACATTACTCTCCTTTATTATATTTCTATTTTATGGGTTCCTTGTAGCAGATACTGTGAGTTTTGTATTTTCAGCAGTATTTCTTCTTTTAGATTTAATATTGCTTTTTTAAGTGTAATTCATGCTATGAGAGCTGCCATTTAAAATGTGCATTCAGTGGTATATTCACAGTATACAGTTTCAGAACTATCAACACCCCCAAGAGGATTGCTGTAGCTGGGAGTGGTCACTCCCTTCCCTCACTCCCCCAACTCCTGCCCCAGGAAATTGTTCATCTGCTGTCTGTCTTTGTGGATTTGCCTGTTCTGGACACTTTGTATAAATGAAATTGTGTGGCCTTTAGTGTCTGGCTCCCTCCACTTTGTGTGTGTTTACAGTATCTGTCTGTGTTGTAGCCTCTATCAGTGTCTCTCCCTGGCCTGGAGGATGGCCTCCCGGTAGGCGGGCACTCCACATTTCATCTGTTTCATTGGTTGATAGCCATTTAGGTTGTTTCCACTTTCTGGATGCTGTGACAAATGCTGCTGTAAGCATTCCTATACAAGTTGTTGTGTGGACGTAGGTTTTTATTTCTAAGTGTGAGCTAAGGAGTAGAATTGCTGGGTCGTACACTCTATGGCTGGCATTTTGAGGAACTGCCTGACAGTTTCCCAAAGTGGTAGAACCATGTATGTCCCCACCAGCCATGTATGAGGGTTCTAGTTTCTCACCACCCTCAGCAGTGTTGTTGTTGCCTGGGACATACTTGCAAGGAGCCAATAGGAGGGTGATGCAGGGAACATGTCAGACTGAGTCGTGTTGTGAGGAAAATGGAAATTGTCTGGAATGCTGTGTTCGGAGTGCCCCAGTCATCCTGGAAAGCACACGTTCACTGGGGAGATGCTCGCCCCAAAACTCCACTCCAAGGTCACCACGCTAGCTAGCACAATGCATCTTCTTCCCGTTCTTGAAAATAAACTGTGTGTATGCATTCCCAGCGCCTGCAGTGAGTGTGACAAAGTAAAATAAACTACAACTTGGACCTCAGAGGCAGGCAGACGCAAGCCTCCATCTGCTCGTCTGCACGTCAGCACCCCGTCACTCTCAGGGGTCCTGAGGGTTGCTGAGTAACAGACTTGGAAGTGCCTCCCCCTCGGGGCCCTCACTGGCCGGCAGTGCTCATTTTCAGCAGAGCCTCAGCATCAGTGATTGTCTTCGTGGTCT